TCAAATTGGCTTGAGAGCCCAAGGAGTGGCTCTCACAACGTACCCAGCTCTGTCAGTAACAATCGAACAGGGTGTAAAGTGAGGAAACCAACCTATCAATCAGGCAAATTACCTCCACTCTCCCTATTAATTTTGATGGCAGAATTTGAAAAAAGCGGCTCCCTAGAGCCACATTGCTGGCCGGGTGGAGAAAAGCTGGTTCATAGAGGCATTGCCCCTGGGGAGAAGGACGTATGGCAGGAGAGAGCTCCTAGAGGGTAGGAACACCAAAGTGCACCTAGCGTGAATTCAGAAGCAGGCCACCTTTACCACATCAGAGGTAATGTGTGCACCCTGCTGTATTTTTAGCACCCCTTTGAAGCGGGACACTGATTGCAGTGTAGAGGTGAACAAATAGTACTGCTGTTTCTAATGTTCATTGTGCAACACGTGTTTTCAAAGCTCTGTCAGTGCTGGAAAGAGATCCCGAGGCCAGGCCTGGCACAGCAGCATTTTCCCTGCAAAATCTCAGCACTGCCAAAAGTGTCCCCCCTCCTAACACAGGGTAAAGTCCAAAGAGAGCTGGGAGCGTAGCGGGCCTTAAAGTGCCTTTTGGCCATTCCTCCCTACGGAGGAGCTCTCCGGCTAAATTCAAAGTGAGGACCTGCAAAGCAGGATACAAGGACAGCCAGGGCTGTCCTCTCCCACAGGAGGCACCTTATGAGGTCCCTGTGCCTAGCAGCCTTTCTCTTTGCGGTGTCACTGTCTTTCCCCATTTGTAAGCAGCTTTGGGTTTCTCTGGAGCTCCCTCTCCCTACAGGCCTTCTGCTCAAACCTCAGACCAGGAGCTTCTCCAGGGCAGCTCGCAGCTATGGCAGCTTCTGCCCTCTCCTGCCAGGGTGACCGGCAGTCGGTGCTGGCAGCCGCCAGCTGAGCCAGCAGCAAGAGCAAAGCAGATAATGAGCACATCTGCTAACACTCTCGGGCCTTTTGCCAGATGAAATTTATATACAAGATCAGCAGGACCTTAAGAATATTTATGGCATTATGTTGGTCCTTTGACAGAAAAGGAAAAAGAACAAGAAAATAAGGATGATGGCTGCCCTTCTTTCGATAATGATGTACGTAAAGCTTAACTTTAGTCTGACATTGAAACACACCCAAATGCAACTGGAAGCCCAGAAACTACAAAATATATCCTCCTTGTCATTAATTATATGCATCTGTGTAAGCTGTAGCTGTCGTCACAGTACAGTTTCTAAGTATAAAAAACTTTAAATGATGCCTCCCTCATTTAGGTCAAACTATGTGATGCAGACATAAGGACATTTGTGCTATCTACCACTTTTAGATTCAGAGCAGTTTAAATTTTATAAAGAAATAGTTCCTGGCTGTTTCCCAAGAAAAGTGAACTGTTCCTCCTTCACACCCTTTCCTCCTTCAGGACCCTGAAACAATACGTAGAGTAAGAGCAGTTAGTGGTCATTAGGGGGAGTGTTATCTGACAACTTGTCACTGCGTCCTGTTTCTGTCACAGCTGTCTCCTGGGCGATGTGAACTTTGAAGCCAAAAGACACATCCAGTTATTTTTGTCATGGAGTTTAACAGGGAGCACGTCTATATGCATCCCAAACATATCTTACTGTACAACCCTGAGCTGCAGTGTCTGCTTAGAATTAATATGCATCTCACAGACTAAGTAACCAGTTTTATAATTAGAGACATCACCTTATCATAGATAAAAGAATTTAGCCATCCTTAGGGGAAAGAAGAAACTGAGGCATCATCAAGAGTGAGAAAGGAGGAAATGAGCAAACGATGCTTCAGATAACATGTGCTCGTATCCAGTTCTGCAGGAGGTAAGCAATCGGAGCAGTAGTTTGCACACGCTGCGGTTACTTATTAACAGTACAGCCATTATGCAAATTAGGCTTCCCTAGTTAAATGCTGGGCATGTGCAGGAAAGAGAAATAACCATACAATTTCGAGTTAATAGATGTATAGCTTCTTAAAACTCTGCCAGCTAACAAAATTTAATTTCAATGTTCTTAAATGTTTCAAACAGAAAGCACTCTCAGATGAGTAACTGGGTGTTAACTCAGAAGCTCAAACACTTCCTATGAGCTAAGAACATGACAGTATTGAGCAATAGTTCTCTTTCATTTTCATCTTTGCCCAACTCAAAACAAAAAGACACACATGCCACATAAGTGACACATCTTAATAAATACTATTTATGTGATTCTGTGATTCTGTGATTGTTATCTAAATACTGGCTATTTAGATTCCTACCTATGAAAACTAAGAAAATTACCTGAATATATGGTGTATCTTTGTATAGAGGTGATCCTGTTTTTCTTCTGGTTTGGGTGGTGAAGCTTTGACCTAGGGTATAAGGTGACCTCCCCCACCTTTTACAACCACTTGCCACTGCTTTTGCTGTTTACCTCAGAAGTTTCACCTCCTCTGCCCAGTGCTTAGTTAGCTAACAGCTTTTCACCGCGCATGTCCACACAGGGCTCCTCTTGTGAAACCTTGGCCATTAAATTACTGTGCAAAGTGACAGTGAGGTGATTTTCCCGACTCCTGTGTCACTGGCAGGCCCCGAGTCTTGCCGAGCTCCTGCGAGCGCTGTGAAGCTGCTGCTTTGCAGGGAAGCAAAGTGCCACTTGCATTCAGCAAAACAACCCATCCTCAGTATCTGCAGGAGGTGGGCATGAGCTGTAATGCAGCCACCAGCAACTCCCTGAGCCAAGGGAGATTTTTAGGGCTTTTCCCCCTGTAAAAAATAACAAAGCACTACCCTGCATTGAGGCAAATAAGGTCATTTGAAAGAGTGATCGGTTTTGAATACTGCAGCTCGTATGTAAAACATAAAAAAAAAATGTGACACAAAATGCAAAATAGGTGTTTTCCATATGGGGAATTATTATTACTTAATGTGAACCAAAGGTGGCAATGATATACTATCCTCCCTCCTTTTCCTTGTGAGCTACTCCCTTCCACTCTTCTTGGCCTTTGGAGAAAGGAGAGCCCTTCTTTTGCCTCCCCACGTTGATTTAGCTGTAATCATGCACAAACAGGAGGCTCTTGTCTGGGTGAGGTGACTGAACTTGTCATCAGAGTTATGTAGATCACTGCTGAGGCTGAGTAGAGGGATTTGGAGAAAAGTCAGAATACAGAGAATTTCCTACATATTAAGATCATTGAGAATTATAGTTGCTAAAAGGAGAAGAAAAAAAATAGTGGAAGTAAAACTAATTGCATGTGTGAAAGCAGAAGATAGTTGAGTGATGTAAAAACCTGACTGACTCATCATTCTGCTGTCTCACTAGGAACTCTGTTAAAACTGCACAGCACCCCGGTCACCACAGCAGTTCGGTGCAATTTAGAAAAAAATAACAGGAGAGGTAGCCTGCACTCCCTTCATTCATTTATGCAGAAACACAGGATTTTCCAGGCCAGATCACATAGTGGTTTGATGACTTCCAGTGCCTCAGCTCTTGAAGTCATTAGTGCCAGAGCATTTCCCTACCTCTGTCCTGACCCCTTGAATTACCCATAGAATCACAGAATCACAGAATGGTCAGGGTTGGAAGGGACCTCTGGAGATCATCTAGTCCAACCCCCCCCACCAGAGCAGGGTCACCTACAGCAGGTGGCACAGGACAGCATCCAGGCAGGTTTTGAATGTCTCCAGAGTGGGAGATTCCACAGCCTCTCTGGGCAGCCTGTTCCAGTGCTCCACTACCCTCAAAGTAAAGAAGTTCATCCTCCTGTTTAGGTGGAACTTCCTGTGTTCAAGTTTGTGCCTATTACCTCTTGTCCTATTAGTGGGCACCATTGAAAAAAAACTGTTCCCATCCCCCTGGCATCCTCCCTTTAAGAATTTGTAAGCATTAATAAGATCCCCCCTCGATCTTCTTTTCTCTAGACTAAAGATACCCAAGTCCATACGGACCGTTCTGCTGTGCTTTGCATCGAAAAGAGAGGAATCTCTTTCAGAGTGCTTCGAAACGCAGAGCCTGACCTCTGACCGTGCCCCACGCGTGCTGGTGACAGACCAACCACCTTTCTGTGGTGCTTCTTGAAGAGTACACATGGGTCCTGTCTCCAACATGGTGGGACACAGGTGGAGAAGCCAGCTGTGAGAATCCCGTGGGATTTCAGAGCCTGGAGCTGAATGCCATTGGCCCTTCTGGCTCCAGTTTGAATTTCCAGTGGGATGCACCAGGCTGTGCCGGAGGGAACGCGTAGGGTGAAAGAGGCTCATAAGGTTGAAACTGTTATGATATAAACCGAAAAGATAAGAATACCCTGGACTGGAGTTTCTAAACATAATTGAACCTGCCAGGAAAAAAAAAATAAAAAAAAATAAAAAATCTTGTTTACAGGCCAAACCGGCCAAACTGCTTGGGAGCTCTCAGAGGACTTGAGGGCTCTCAGGTGTCATCTCAAATGTCACCAGCCTCTTTCACGACACTTAAGGTTGGGGAGAGCTCAGCGCCAGACGCAAAAGGGAGATCAGCGCCGGTGGGAAGGCGGCCTCGCCCCCCCTCCCCCAGCGTTTATTAACACGACAGTCCTCTGACGGTTGCCGCACCCCTCCCGGCACTCCCGCGGCGAGAGCCACCGGGCAGCCCGGCAGGCCGCCTGGGGCGGCGGGGATCGCCGCT